ATTTTGTGTTACTTGTTTATCAACTCCTACCCTGCCCCCTCTTTTATGTGCAGTGCTATTATTGTTAAAAAAGATATTTTTATTTTATTTTATTTATTTATTTCAAAATTAGTACAAATAATTCCATATAAATACAAGTGTGCATTAAAATGTCCTATCATGTTTATTGAAGAATAACAAAAACACTTTTATGTACATCTTGTAGTGTAAATGTAATTTATAGTAATGAAGAAGAGCTACATCAGGCTCTCCTATGTTGACCCAGTTAAGCTGCGAAAAGCAGTTGATCAAGAGATTTACAATAAAAAATTTTTAAAGAAATGTACAGATGGTGAGTCAATTGCTTGCTGTGAAAGAGCATTCCATTGTTTTGTTACTCTATTTGTAAAAAAGTTTTCTCGTTCAATGCAACCTTTGACTGGTTGAGGCATTAATCGCTGATTGTGTCTACGGAGATTGTAACTTGTTTTTGAATTTATTAGAGTTAGAGGGAAATGAAAGTTAACTTCGTCAATCTGTTGAGTAAATTTAAACTGCTGGATTAGGTCACCTCGTTTCCTGCGATCCTCAAGCGATGCTAGTTTCAGCTTTTGTAATCTTTCCTCATATGGTAAATGTTTTATCTCAGATATTGTTTTTATAACACGTCTTTGCACTTTCTCCATCATCACAATATCTTTTTTTAGGTGAGGAGACCAAACCTGTACTGCAAAATCTAGATGTGGACGAATGTATGCAAGGTACAGTTTTTTCCATAAAACTAGTCTGCGGCTACAAAAAGCTTTTCGGAGACGATAGAACATTTGATTCACAATTGAGACTGCTGTTTCAACTTGAGTTTTGACCTTTAAGTCATTGAAACAATAACCCCAAGGTCTCGTTCAACTATTGTTTCTTCCAGTGTACAACGAGTTCCATCTAGCTGTGCCATTGTGTATGAATGTGTTGACTTGTTAGTGCGTCCAACATGCATAACTCTGCATTTATTGATGTTAAAAGGCATTAACCACTTGTGCGACCAGTCAACTATTTTATCTATGTCAGCTTGAAGAAGGTTGGCATCTTGCAGAGATTTGATGACTCCGATAATTTTACCATCATCGGCATAAAGTTTTGTGTGGTGTACAATGGTGTCAGGCAAATCATTAATAAATAAGATGAATAGTAGTGGACCAAGGACCGAGCCCTGTGACACACCACTAGTCATGGGGACCCACTCAGATGTTATTCCGTCTAATACTACTCTCTGTTGCCGACTAGTTAACCAATTTTTAACCCATTTAAGCAGGGTTTCACTAATATATATCTCTAAGTAATTTTTTGCTAAAAGTTTACTTTCGCTATAAAAAGAATTGTAATTAAATATTTTTTTTCACGTCACATTGTAGCAAACCACCCTTCCCATGTGATATTTGGTGACACTTTCAATACCCTTCCCCCATATGGGGAGGAATTTACCACAATACAAGTAATAACTGCTTTTATAACCCCTTTTTAAATGATATATTGCCTGAATTACAGAAGAGTTACTTTATTTGGAAAAAAATTATTTTGGGGCAAATAATATGGGACAGTCTTATGGACAGGCTAATGAAAAACAGAAAACCTAATAAAAAAGCTGTTATTATTTATACTCAGCTAAATCAGCGAATAGTTGCTTCTTATTAAAATTGCCTACAACTTTTCTGTGATTTTCGACCACATTAAAAACTTTGTTTCATACAGCCTCGTCCTAAAGATAAGAAATGTTATTTTAATCTGTTCTAAAAGTAAACTTTTATGATTATGTAGATTTCTTAATTGCCTTCTCAACTAATTTTACATTTTACCTTTGTAAGTATTTGGAGATAATCGGAACACAACTTAATTCCTCTCTCAGCCACGTCATTAGTCAATTTTAGAGTTTTGATAAACAGCTTTGTTTTCAAATAATAAGCATTGTCATCCCATTCTGAAGAAAGAATTTTAAGCCATTTTTCATCATCTTTTAAATTATAAAAAATCAACCGAAACTTTTTCCTAAAATAAGAAAAAAGATCAGAATTTTTTCTAATCAGTAAAAGAGTTGATTAACCACAATTGATACCAAGTGGTTTTCCGTATTCTAGCATTTTTTTTTTGCAATTTTATCTTTATCATTTAGAGAAAGTTTATTTAAAAATAAACTTAATACAGACACCTGCTCGGTTAGATACCAAGAGTATCTGCCTAAAATATGTTGGGCTTTTTCAGCAGGTACACGGAAGTTTGGTATATCTTTAAGTGCTTCTAGATCATTAAACAATTCTAAAATATTAATTGGTGCATTGCAAGTCTTTGACGCTTCTAACCAAGCTTTAATGTAAATGGCTGAGCTAAAAGTCAAAAAGATTTTAAGGTTTTTTAAATCAGATTCGGGTAAATCTTTTTTAAATATTAACATCTTTAATGCTTACAGCAAATGCGCCATCCATCTTGCATGATGGTGAGCACCACATGTTCATTTCTTGGGCTCTTCTCCACCTAATAGAAAAATTGCTAGTTCTGCAGCCTCTTTGTAATCTTCTCTTGGGTGATGCTTAGAGTGCAATACTTTCTCTAAGAAATTGCATGTTTCAATTGATTTTTGTTTTAAGAATGAATTTTCAAGATCAAGGGATCTACTTGAAAGTTTGAGAGGAATTTTTTTAGAGTGAAGTCATTCTTTTTGAAAATTCTTTAGCTCTATATTATCATCAGATGATGTCTCTTTTTAAAATAAATCTTTCCAAAATGACCCAAGGATTAATTCTAAAACATGATAAAGACATGCAAGCTAGAGAAGCGTTTTTATAGATTTGCATTCTTCAAGAACAGTTGCTGTTCCGTTTCTTACTCCAGTATTACAAGCCGTTGTATCAAAAACTTGGGCAACAATATTATCTTTAAGATCCCATTTTTCTAAATCTTCTATGATTCCTTTACATATAGAATGTCATGTGCCTGACTGAATAGGTTTAATAGATAAAATTTTACCTTCCACGCAGTTTGGAAAACCACTTACTAAACAGTTAAATAGTCAAACTTTTTACCAGATATTTGCTTCATAAGTTAAATAATCTAATTTTAACTTTTTTTTTAAATTCTTCAATTATATTTCTTGCCATAATTTGTCTATTTTGCTTAGGTGCTCTTCTAATTGTGTTTAGTGAAATATCTACATCATTAGCTTTAACACCACCTAAAAAATACAGAATATAATTTTTCTTATTAACTCATCACACTTATCAAAAACTCATGAAACTGATTAGTGATTTAAAAAACAATCAAAAAATAACCTAGAACCAGGATTGCTGAAACATTCATCAAAAGTTGTACGTTTGAAAGTTTAGATCTATCAGCTGTTGCTGTTATCATTGGATGACAAACAAAGTTTCTTGGCAAAATTTAATTGATATTATCTGATACAACATTTTCCATTACACCTGCAGATGATTCAAAAGTATTTACTTCATAATCAATATTAGAAAAGCCCTGAGAATCTGAGTACGCAGAACCTCTAGACCCAGCAAAAAATGATTCTTTAATTGAGCCATCACTTTTATAAATGCTAAAATCAATTTAATTTTCTTTTCTTTTCTTTATCGATTCTTAATCTTTCTTTTTCCTCCTTCTCTATTTTTCTTTTGACACTCAATTTCAACAAATTATCTTTTCCACATAGTCCTCTGGTTTTTACTCCTTGAGTGCTGAAAACCAGAGAATATCTTCTTCAGAGAATATCTTCTTCTGCATTTAAATTTGATCTGGTTTTTTTAACATATTCTTCCCAATTCGGAGAACTAACATCAAAATTATTATCCATTATTTTTTTGAAGCCTTGAATAAGTAAATCTTTTTTTGAAAAACATTTATGTTTAGACTTTGCAAGACTTCTCCATTTATCATGTAACTTAATAATACTTTCACCAATATACTTTTCCTGCCTGCAAGGAATATCAGCTTTATCCAAAAAAACTTTAACGGTTTTCATTGTTAATTTTGCAGCTAATTTTAATTTTAAAATGTTGCTTTTACTATCTAATTCTTTAGTACATTTAGAAAACACTTGAAGCGAATTGTTCATCATTTTTAATTGATACCTTAACAAGCAAAACAGAATAAATTCACCTCAAAGTTTAAAAGTTGTTTCATCTTTTTCTTTTTTTAAAGAGAACTTGACTTGTTAAATCTTCAAGACATGGGTGTTCTAATGAGTAATAAAAATGCAGAAGATGGTGAAGAAAACAAAGAAGTTAAAGGAAAAGAGTTAATCAAAGATTTACAAGTTTGTTATATTTTTTTTAATTATAAATAAGTTTTAACAATTATATTTTAACAATAATTTTTTAAACAATTATTTTTAAACAATTATTTTAAACAATACTTTTAGATTCAATTTGAAAAAGAAAAAGAGACAGTTTTGGAGATGTCACTTTTAAATACTAAGAGTCATTAGGAACTGCTTTTTACTACAAATTGTAAATTTAGATGTGTGTGTGTGTGTGTGTGTGTGTGTGTGTGTGTGTGTGTGTGTGCATATATATATATATATATATATATATATATATATATATATATATATATATATATATATAATATATATATCTTATACTGCTGATTTAGGTGAGCAGTGTAATGTCATACTGAAATAGCCTGCTGCCGGGGGCTTCAGTACATACATTGACTGACCAATAGCCTAATATATATATATATATATATATATATTATATATATATATATATATATATATATATATATATATATATACAAAAAAAAAAAAACTTTTAAATAAAATATTTTTAAAAAAATATTTTATTTAACATTAATGTTGTAAACATTTATATAAAATATGTCAACACAGACACATAATAACTATAAAACTATATGAGAACATAGTATGATACTAAATTTAATTATAATACTGTAATACTCTGCACATTTGTACTAACTAAAACTTGTATAGTATGTAAAATGTATAATATTAAAGATAAAAAACTAACTTTAGTGTTGTCTTTAATATCCATTCGTCTTGCAAATATTAAACCACAAATCCAAAACAACATAATTATTGTAACAATTACTAGAAGAAGATAACCCTTTTTCAATAACTTTAACGACGGTTTCTGAATAATGTTTGGAGCAACATAAAATCCACCAAATCCAGTCAAGTGTTTACATTTACACTTTGTTACTTCAAAGTTAGTTGTTTTAAAGTCAAGCTAAAAAATTTTAAATTTATGCAATTTTGAATTATTTTTGTACATGCATAATAGTGTTGCTTTTTAAATTGAATTTAAAAAAAAGATGGGTATGCAGATAAATAAAAGTAAATACAATTTAAAATTCAATAAAAACAAGATTAACATTAAATTATTGAAATAATTGACTCATTGTTTACATTATATGTATATGTAAAAAAAAATATATATATTGTACTTGGCATCCATCAGACATCCACTTATTTGATATTTCATTCCAGTAATTACATTCACTGCAATAGGACTTCATTTCATAAATGAACTCCCCTTCGTATTCCTTTTCATCATAAGTGTATGAATTTTCTTCCAATTTTTTAGCTGGCATTGGACCAACATAGAAGAATGATATATACAAAACTGAATTGTTAAGAAAAGCATATGTTGAATTCTGAAAATCCCACAAAATTAAAGTACCATCACCAAGTAGATGAGCTTGTTGATTTCTTTCAACAAAAAAAGAAGAATTTTTAATCTCACTGTTGGTAAGGTTATTTTTTTGACCAAATGATACTTCTTCACTTGCATTAAAACTCATAGCAAGCTTATTTTTTGTAAGAACAACGCCATCTTTGTTTGATATATTAAGCCTAATATCATAATCATTTTTTGTAGGAATTTTTCCAAACTGAAGAAATACAATGAGAAAAGTCAAATTACTAGGATCATTAAATGCACTAAATTTTAACATCATGTTGCATAAGCTGGATGTTAATATAAGGGACAACACCTTAGGTTCTTCTGGGGCAGATAAAGACAAGTTATATCCCCTAATTTTTTCAGGTTTATTTAATATTGCAATGATGATTGGTTGCTGCAAGTTATTTACATTTATTGGTAATCTTTCTGTAGTAGACATTAAAAGACTTTGTAACTCAGATGCAATATTTTTTGATCGATCTATATCCCACGTATATGGTTGATTTTTTAATCGAAGATTCTACAACATAAAATTTTTTAAAATATTTTGTAACAACTTCTAAAAATTTCATTATATTAGATAAAAAATACCCAGTTTCTTATCCAAATTATTAGAGATTAGACCCCCAATTAACTTATCCAAATTATTAGAGATGTAAAAAATGAGAATTAGGATTTAAAAGTAATTTTTTAAAAGAAATAAAAAAATAGCCTAAAATAACATTCCTTATTATTGCATTAAAATTCATATAACACAGGAGTATAGAAAAAATCCAAAATAAAAAATAATAATAAAAATTCAAACTATATATAAAGATTTAAAAAAAATATGTACAAAAAAATCAAAAATGTATAACAACACATAATATTATTCAATAGCTTAAAATATAATGTTAAATTACAAGAACTGACATGAGTAGGTCACATTAAGAATATAACAACCTTCCCTGCTTTTAAAAAAAATCAAAAACAAAATCATAACAAGATTTTAATAGAGTATTGTGTCAGCAGTTTGTTAAGATTATATGGACATTTCATTGTTTATCTATAAAGTAAAATTTTTGTAAACTCCTAATACCTGACACAAATTTTAAAATATGCAGGTATTAGGATTCTGTCAATATAATTTAAACTTTTTATAGGAAATCTTGTAGTAACTAAAACTTGTTTAGTATGTAAAATGTATAATATTTAAGATAAAAAACTAACTTTAGCGTTGTCTTTAATATCCATTAGCCTTTCAAATATTAAACCACAAATCCAAAACAACATAAACATAACTTTTTATATATCTTTTTATATAAAAATTAATAAACTTTTTATTTTAAATATCTTTTTATATAAAAAATAACTACAAACATCCACCCAGTGGATGTTTGCAGCTGTTTTTTAGTGGCTTAATTTCAATGATAAGCAGTCTTAAAAAGCTGATCATTAGTTAAGATAACAAAATTGTTGGGGCTAAATATTCTCAAAAAAATTTCAGGTACATATTAAACAATATTTGAAGAGAACAATAGCAGCAACATTTTAATGTCTTTGTTTAAAATTGCCAGCTAGTTTTTCCAAAAAAATTCTTTACAGAGATGCCATGTTTGTTAAAGTTTGTGTATTAAAACTATAGGGTTAAAAAAGGATTGTAACAACAACAACTAAAAAATAAATAAAAGACTGTAGTCTATTGATTGTGGGGAGAATAGAATAGTAGAGGAAAATTCTTTGGTCAAAAATTAAGGTCATATACATAAACGATTCTATTTGTGGCAGTATTTTTTTTTTTTTTTTGCTAAAATTAATTAAAAAGAGTGGCTATTAAAATTATACAACACCTTGGAGAATGTAACACAGTTATAAATTCAAAATCAAAAGGTTTACTACGTTATGATGTAATTTTTATACTTCTGCTAGTCAACAATAAGGTATAAATAAAATGTTTCTCACAAACTGTATACAACGTGAAAAAGTATTTTTATATCTTATATCTTTGTACCTTTATTTGTAATAATTGCCAAGCATCTTCGTTGCATGGAATTAATAAGATTCTGACACTGTTCGACAGATATATTTTGCCATGCTGACTGTACTACGTCCCACAATTGATTACAACCTCTTGGATTATTTTCAGAAACTGCTTGTTTAACATCAATTCACAAGTTTTCAATCGGATTGAAGTCGGGGGATTGTGCTGGCCACTCTATCACATCGATTTGGCTAACTTGCTTGTATGCTTAGGATCATTATTCTTTCGGAACAAAAATTTTAACGACATTTCTTCTTCAGCATAAGGCAGCACGCATCTCCTCAAGTATTTTTACATATACAAACCAATCTATGATACATTCTATGCGATGTATGAGCCCAAGATCATAGTAAGAAAAACAACCTCATATCATTATTTTTGAACCTCCATGTTTGACGGTCTTTAATGTAAATTGTGGCTTATATGCTGCACCCGTTGGTCTTCTAACATACTGTTTACGAACATAGGAGCCAAAAATTTCAATTTTGCTTTCATCAGCCCATATATAAAATATATATAAAACAAGTTCTAAACTAAAACTTCAAACTACTGTAAAATATTTTTGATAAAGAATGCCCAAGACTTTTCAAAAGTTTATTCTTTTCAAAAGTTTTTCAAAAGTTTAGACTTTTCAAAAGTATATCCTAGTAACACACACAGATTGTGATATTTAACTGATGATGAAAACTAAAATTTTTAAACAGTATATACCTTTAGCCATCCATCTTGCACAATTGTAAGCCCCAGGAATGCAAATAGTTGTTGTATCATTATTTTTTCTTAAAAGGAATAGAGCTAGTCTTTTGTGTTCTTTATAATCATCAATGGTTGCGTTTCCTTTCCGTTTTTTTTCAAATTTTCCACTACATTGGATTTTTAAGATGCAAGCCACTCTTTTTTAAATTTTTATAAGATATTCAGTTCCCTTTTTATCACTTTCAAGTGGTTTAAACTTTGATTGTTCTATTAGCTCCCACTGGGACTTCACTAAACCAAAAAGTTCAATGCTTGGATCTTTTGATACAAAAAATGCATCAAGCACTACATTTGCACAGCCTATCAACATTATATTTCAAGAATATAATGTTGATAGGCTAAAAACAAAATGCTTCGATTCTTCATACTTCTGTATGACAGTTATTGCCCATTATGACTTCCTGTATTATCTGCAGTTGTATCAAAGCAAAATCCTGCAAGATGCTCCTCAATGCCAGGTCATTCATTAACGAACTCAACTACCTTTTTCCTATTAGATTGCCAGTACCAGCAGGTATCTCAGGGATCTCTATATCCAAGCCGGATACAACAATTGGCAGGCATCTAGTTTTACCAACTATTAGCAACACTTTACCATCAAAATGAGCAACTAGTCAAACCAAGGGTTAAAATTTTTTTCTTACTGCTATTGCAAGAGATTCACAGGATGTAGTTTGAGCTTCCATTAGAGTGGAACGTGAAAATGTTAATATATTTACATCAATACCAATTACAGCTAGGGTTGGTGTGACAACCACCATTGGTTGTCATGGTGATATTTTTGTTTGGTCTTATGCTACATGAAAGAGTTGATTGTCAAGAATACAACAGTTGGATATTGTAATCAAGAGTTGACTAGTGCCCATAGTAGAATATTTTGAATTATTTGGATGAGTAAAAGCTTTTTGTGTTTGAATTGACATACCATAGTCAGAATTTTCATCCAAAGAGTAATCTAAATTCTAATCCATTAATGTATCTGTAGATATAACTTTATTTTCTTTATGTTGTTCAAAGCGCCTTTTTTCTTCAAGCTTGCGTTTTCTGTATTTTACAACTGCTTTTTTATACATTAAGTCTTCTGATATCATTAACATCTTTCGGGGACCTTTCTGGTCTATCAGAAACTGTTTATCTTCATTTATCTTGAGGAGACAATCCCATTCACCATGGGCAATATCAAGAAGTGTATTTATCTTGGCAGTGAACTTTTCTTGATAGCTATGTTAAGTAGCTGATTTTCTACTTCTGTGCTTAGACACATGAGCATGTTGCTTGTGAATACTCTTTAATTAGCAACTACATGAGGCTTTGCTATAGTTAGAATAATAATCAAAAAGTCAACTCTTTCATTTTCCTTTCATTTTCATTTTCCTGCAACATTTGCAGATGAAGATGAAAAGAAAATGAAAGAGTTGACTTTTTGATTATTATTTCATAAAAAAAAAACTCTATATAGGGCAAGACCACTTGTTGGCAACTGACTCGGTCCATCTATTGTTAAGAGAATATATCCAACTAATCTTCTTAAGTAATATTCTAATACTTTTTTACTATAATAGAAAGAATATAATAGAAATTTAATAAATATAAAGTGTTCAAAGTCAAATAATAAAAGAATTAAGTCTTAGATGATACACCCCCCCCCCCCATATTTTCCCTACATTTTTTAATAATGAAATCAAAATATGCATTTAGGAGCGATTTTTGGTAAATAATGCGGAGGGGGTAAATCTAAATTTGCTTGAAAATAAAATTACAAGACTAAGATTTTAGACAAATTGTGATAATTTAAGGTTCTTATATATGTTTAGGGGACCACTTCCCATTATCAGTTTGAAAAAAAATTTTAACTTTATACTTTTTATAACAGACCTCACCAAATAAAATTAAAAATTGAAAAAAATTTTTTCCATATAAAAAAAAAACAACCCTAATATATATATATATATATATATATATATATATATATATATATATATATATATATATTATATATATATATATATATATATATATATATATATATCATACATTCACTATTATTATACATAACATACATTCACTATTATTGGAATGTTCTTGAGAGACTGGTTAAACATTTCTTTAGCATCTGAAAGAATAAAACCAGAAGAAATAGTCATATTGCTCAGATTATCTTTGAGTTCTTTCTTTAAAAAAAAATCAAATGCTGCTGTACTTCCAGTGGTAGCAATTTCACCAGGAATTTTGTATGCTTGAAGAACATAAAAGTAATCTTCCATAAATCCTAAGAGTTTGGATACAACATCTGCACTGATTGTTGACTAATTCATAAGCAAAAAGAAAAACCAAAAATTAAAAAATAAAATAAAACAAGTGTAAAAAATATTATAAAATAAATATATTGAATATGAATGCATTAAAAATGTACAGTTGAATCAATCAACAATTTATAAGATAATGCTAATTATATGTAAATAACAATACAATGGTAGCAAAATATTGAAAAATAAATAGCTATTGCATAACTATGATTGCATAATATTATAATATAAATAAATATAGTAATATCTAAATTAAATAAAAATACAATAATAATAGGGTTTTGATAATAATTTACATTAACAATGCATGAACTGATTTTTTTAGTACTAATTTGAATAACATACCTGACTTTTATTAACTGAATTCTGGAGGTTTTGTGAGTAATCTAAAACAAATTTATTTTAGACTGTTAAATAGTATAAATAGGATATAAAAAGTTAGAGTCAAGAATTGAAAATATTTTTATACAAGAGACTACATTTACCAAGGTAATGAAATAAATAGGTCACTGTCAATGCAAATAATATTTTATTCTAATATCATGCTATAAAGTGACATATTTGACAATAAGTTATAAATTAGACATAATTGTTATTGATACTACATCATTGTTATTGATACTACAGGCCATTATGTTGAAATGGATTATTTATGAATTAAATCAAGTTGATAAATCTCACTATGTTTGTTTTTTATCAAATAATCTTTAACTCAAAAAGCACAACTTAATTATCATTTAGAACCATAGTAGTGCTACACTATTTTTAACCCATTTTAATAAACTTATTCAATTTTTTACCAATAAACTTAAAGTGGGAAGTGGAGTTGCGTAATTTTACCAAGTGCAAGGATTGAATTTTTTAAATCTCACAACATTGTGATTTTTTCTTG